AATAAAGAACGACAAGAAGAGTGAAAAAAATTTAAGAAGAGACACGCCGAGGAATAGAAGGAAAAAGATTCTAAGAAAAAATCAAAAGATAATAAGTGTTGTGAAACCCTATAAAAATAATTTTCTTCAAGAAATTTTTACTTATCAAAATGTTGCATGAACCGACCATTTATAAGTTTACTACCAATGTTAAAAATCAAAAACTTTTAACTGAAGATGGTAGTGATAGAAAAGAGAAATCTTTGTTGAAAAATTTTACAAAAAAGTATTTAACCAATATAGGAACTGTAGGTCAAATAAGGACAGTTCAAGATAATTGTACGGATGAAGTAGAAAAAAAAAAAAATAGAATCGAAGCACCAAAAAAAAAAAAAAGCACCGATACAACGGAGTCATACACGGCATACAATGTACAAGTACACTTGGATCGGCCGGTCTGCCCGCTCGGCTGGGACTCACTGGCCGAGCGGCCGTTTAGCGTGTCCACGGGGCCCCACCGACTTTTCTCTCGGGCCTCGCGCGCTCCACCTTGAATCCACGCGCACCAGAGGGGTCCCCACCTTTCCTTCGCCCAAGAAAGAAAGTAGGCTTCCACCTGACGCGCGCGTGCTGTCCTTCCCCTCCCCGGCATCTCGCGTTAAACCAACTCCCCCTCCTCCTCCCCCCCTCATGTTTTTGTGAATCACCTACTTGTGTATACAGATTTGTAAGTGCTCATATGTACGATTATCGCGTGCGTGGGTGAGCTTGCTCTCTTTGGCTACCTGCCGTCTCGCGAAAGTTATTGAGACACATGCTTGCATCGAATGGAACACGCGGATGGCTGCATCCGTCATTATTACGAGGACTCGGGTCGTTTCGAGACTATACGTTATAAATTAGCTCTCGCCTGGGCAGCGTCTCATGTGTTGATCGATCGCGACGTTTAGTCACAGCGAAGAGAGCAGACACCGGTTTTTCTTTTTTCTCCCACGCGATGATCGATCGTTGATTATTACGTACTCAATTCACTGATGCTTTTGTGTTTATGTATACGTAACGATTTATTGTATACTCGAATGTAGCAAGTAGGTACCTAATTTGTAATTATTATTGCAGGTATAACGGAAAATACCCGGGACGTCGCGGTGAGTTTTCCAAAAATCCAGATTTACCGATTTCTCCGGAGATCGGTATTTTCTGAAGAAGGAGAAAGGGCGTGTGTACTATATTATGTACCTGCCGACCGCGACACGATCGCGCGACGATAATTTTATTGGAACGGGTGAAAGTGGTGGTTTTTTTCCCCCCTGATATACTTTATGAGTATCGGAAGCCTTTTTGGCGTGCTTTTTCGTTGGGGAGACGTTGAACTTGTAAGTACGCGAAATTCAAAATGACGCTGTATTGTTACGTAAAGGCGTGCCATTTTTATCGAGCGCGATGAGTGAACTTCTCGGTGAACAAATATTACGGCAGGCGTGATCGAACGCAAGAAAGTTGCGGTTTTGTAATCTTTACGGAAAATTTTTTTTAATTACTACATACAATACAGTGCCTACAGCAAAATTATTTTCCAGACAAAATAATGCATTACAATATGGAAAAAAAAATGTTATACTTCAAACATACTTATCAACAAAATTTATTGCATTTATCTACCAGAAAATAATTTATTTTCTTAATGTTGTATTAATGAATAAATTTTTTTTTTCTGTAAAAAAGCTCTTTATTCAGGAAAACAAATTTGGCTTGGGCACGGATACTTTTTCAAATACTGCATGTTATAGTTTTTTCCTACAAAATTACAGTAACGAGGTACTTTTTTAAAATTTTTCCTATAAACGATGATAAACTATATATTTTTCAAAAAAAAAGGATTTATAGTGTAAACATATTGCACTACTTTTTAAATCTTTTTTGGGGAGTCTAATTGTTGTTATGTAGGCCAGTTCTGTTTGTACCCAACAATATAAGTATCATTCGGAAGTAAAACAAGAGAGCCGAGTTTCCCGCGAGTTTACGACTTTTTGGAAAATGTATCGATAAAAGTGCCAATTTTCGTAAACGCCGGAGCCCGAAGTGAACACGTTCTTGGAACGCGTTTCCGTGCCGGTCGAACGTTGCGACGGGCATCCCATCGAGTAACAACGGGTCGCTAGAGTTTCTCTGCAAATAAATCAATGATATGAAAGTTTTTACGGAACGACAGGGAGTTAAAAGTGGGTCAAGTGGAGGGGGATAACGCCCCCCCCCCCCCCGATTAAAAAGTGTGCTATTTGCTCTGCTTTGATTGAGTGAAAAACGTCTTGACGATTTTGTTTTTCCGGGGTCATTGAGACGTTCAGTTTCTTCGCGATGTAAATTAATTTTGAGGATAATAACTTAGTTCCGATCAACAACAATTTGGGCACTTTTAAGGTACATTAACTTTTTTTCCATTAACGTATCAAATGCACTATTTTTGCTGGAAAAATTTGTCCTCATTGCTTATACAAAACAATGTTCGAAGATTTTTTTTTCTTTTTAGCATCGTATTTATTTTTTTATTTAAAAACAAATATTTTGAATTCCAAGACAATAGTAACGGTGAAAAACATTAGTCAGTATTGTATTGAAAAAATCCGTCCTCGAATATGCTTACCTTTGTTCCCTTCATAATAAATATTTGTTTATCACCCAATCGATGTTTGTACACATCTCAGCTGTAACATGATAAACAAAGAGAATGTATTGCAATGAAGGATGTAGGTATGGTCGGATAGAAAGGAAAAATGAATCAATAGCAACAACAACGGTGGTATTTTTTAAATTTTTTATTAACTATATTCCACAAGGACGAACGATGACGATCTACGAAAAGTCCTTTCTCCTGTGAGTGTCTGTCTGTCTCTGTGTTTAGGTGTATGTGTGTGGCTTAGCGATGAGAAGTTATACGTATAGTAATTTATTATCGCGAATGTATACTTTTCGACTCAACAGAGTCGTCTTATTGTTATTACATTATACTTGACGCAGATTTACACACGAGTTTCGCCCATGACGGGCTTACATTCTATATGTGTGTATATATATATGTATATTATACGTTATAAATATACTTTTAACGCATCGTGATTAACGAGATAATCGATATAATGTAATATTAAAAAATAACAGATCGTTAGAGCTATGCGAAAACCAACAAAAATAACAATTATAATAATCGCTGCAACAGGTGTGTCTTACCTATACATATATAACGAAGTTAATCAAGTGTAATCATACCCGTACACGCGATACCGCAGGGATGAATAGGACGCAACTGTGATACGATGTGGTGGAAAATAAATTCGAAAAAACAACTATCGTCTCGAAGCAACTTATGTACCTATGCGCAATTTGAAGATGGCGATATTTTTGTCTCGCTCTCGTCTTACACAACCAATCACTCGATAAATTCGAATTTATTGCTATAAACTAATGTACTTACGCGTGGCATCAGAACTATTATGAATTTAACTTTAGAAGCGTGCACGTGCGCACGTGTGTGGAATATCCGCGCCTCTTTGCGTCTGTTAATAATATGCTTATAAATCAACGTGGCCAAAGAAAAAGTAGTGAGATCAATTTTTGAGTTTTCGAAACTCTTGTTTTTTTTTTTTTTTTTTTTTTTTTTGTCTTTACGTGTAGCGAAACTATTGAAACTCAGTTCGCACCAGATGTTACGTGAAAAATCACCGAGTAACGAGTACGAGTTACAGAGGTAACTTGTCCACTATACCTGCGCGAGATGTTTGACGTAACAATCGATCCGGAGAAACGAGAAATCAATATTGCGTGTTACCTAATATGTACGCTTGCACCGGATAAATGGCTTTTTCATGAATCCTGTGTAAATCACTCGTGGGACGAGAAGTCGGGGGTCCACAGATTTTTACCTAACGATACAAAATTTAATGGAAAAATTCAATCAAAAGCGCTTGTTTCTAACTATGTCAGCCTCATTTTTGCATTGGAATTTTCTCAGCACGAGAAACATCATTTGTACCCTCTAAAAAGGTTTTAAACCAATATAATTATGTATAGGCGACATTTTATTTATTTATTTATTTATTTTTTCTTTCTTTTTAACCTTTACAACTACTGCGATTTTTTTCTATTAAAAAATCGTATTTGTTTCGACGCGTGCCTCATACGTACAATGGACTTTTTAAATTTATTTTTCAATCCTCCATTGTAATCGACGGCACATACGGTAACAGTTAAATACTCTTCAATCGCCTAAGATAATTTTTTATTTTTTTAACTATATAATATTAACAGAAAACACATTTTGACGCGCTCCGATAAAAGTTTCTATTATAAACGGTAATCATTTTTCTATGATCAACGGGATATATAGTTAAGCGATCTTATCCCTAGAGAATATGTAATATACGCGGTGCGAAAACAAATATTTGCAAACGACGCAATTATTAATGCTTTTTTATTTTTTTAATCTTGTAGCACAATTCACTTGGTGTCTTTTACTGTTTGTTTTTACATCCGCCAATTAGGCTAATGACCATCTTACATTTTATAAATGCGATCTACATTGTATTTTTGTTGTACGTCGAGTAACCAAACAGATGTAGAATTTTTTTTTTTTGCTCCGCAATGCTATATTACTTTTACGCTATTATATAGGTTCATAGTATCTAAAATTTTCGCAGAATCGTATATAATTTAGCGATAGTAACTTTACGTATAATGTAGATATTACTTTGGCAACTGTTTATTGCCCTTCTTATATATTTATTATTTTCTTTTTGTTTTCTTTGCTATACAACTAAACCACTTATCGTTACACGGAAATGCGAGAAATTACGCTATGTACACATTAAAATCTAACTCATTACCACGTACGCTAATGTTTCTACTATACATACTTATACATTCTCTTTAAATTATGTAATTGGTGTAGATTTTTCTTCTTGTATATATGCCTTGTATATACAATCCTTCAAATGATTACAATGTACGTCGATTTCGTAGTCTAAAAGGTTTAAAAAACACACTTTTGGCGCGATTAAAAGTTTTGTTACAATGTTACGTCTTTCTAAAAAAACAAAAAAAATCATTCCTTTCAATAGTTTCGTCAACGGTTGGGTAAATCATGATTCCGTAAATCTATACGTCGGAAAATCCCTTTTGGACTCGGTTTCCTTGTTAATTGTGGCTTTGAACGCGCGAGTTTTACAGGACCAGTGACCACAAAAGTGCCTACGTTCGATTAAAAAAAAAAAAAAAAAAAAGTGATCAATACCACCACAGAGCTTGTAACTCTATAGATACACATGGCGGTCAGTAGATAGATTTCAAAGGAGTTATAGGTACCTTTTTTTTTTAATTTTTTCAGTTGTCCAGTCTGTGATTGGCTGATGACGTAAGAGAATCGTCTCCAACGTCACATTATTTCTCCTATATTTGGCGTAACGAACTATATAATCGAGCAAAGTAAAGTAATAATTGTCAAACCGATTTGGTCCCCAGCCATAATTATATTGTATTGTATCTTCCGTATGCGGTGCATGTATAGGCGTACGCGTACGTTATATTCTCAGTGCAATTATTTGGAATGTACTTTTAATTTTTTTTTTCTTCAAATGCAACCGTTGCGTCAATGATTTTTCATTTGTTGAGTTTAACACTGTCGTTAAATGCATTACGTAATTTGTATGAAATAAAATTGATAATACGGTCTCGGGTACTTTCTACTGTTTTCTCGATAAAAGAGAGTAGGTCTGTGTGTAACGGTAAAAATTCCCCAGACAATGAAATGGCACCAAATCACTTGAGTTGCTACAGTCATTTTTTCGTTTCTTTTCTCAGTTCATCAATCAACTTCGGTAAAAACGCGTACAAATCCCAAGTTTGCGTACGGGCTGATTAATTAAAAACTCGCACGAAAAAATCAAACCCGCACATTTATTCTATAGATGTTTGTTTTCGGCCGAAAATCAGTTATTTCTTTATGCAAGGACTATATAATTATATCAAGCCCTCGCCCTTTGAAAGCAGTAGTTGATGAAACACAAATTTTTTCAAGAGCGTCTCTTCATATCTTTCCCGAGGCGCTGTCACCCCATGTATTGAAGCATCCACGAGTTGGGCGTTCATTTATTTTATAACAGCCAACAGCGTTTGGTATATCATTATTACCGTATAATAAATCAATACAAATGCCAATCATACAACAATAAGCGTTTAGCAACGATCGCTGCTCTGCATCTCTGCTCTCATCGCTCGCCTAACTCCTAACTCAAATACACGTCTTTTCACCCGATTCTCCTCGCACGCCCGTAGTAATAATAATAATAATGATAATCATCGTCACAACATTACACTATGTTATCTTTGGTACACGCTAGAGGACGCGCTAGATCGAGAAGTTATCACACTAGAGTCTTCCGCGCGACGCTGCCCCTTTAGGCGGCCGGCGCCGCTACTAGCTTGCGTTGACGTAGCCTCATCACCACCACCAGGAGAGTTCCGCCTGCAGAACCCTGGAAAAAAAAAAAAAAAGTACGCGCGACTGCGTTAATTTTCCTTTTTCTTCATTGATGCTCGATTATTCGCAATCAACTCCGATGCCCGGTTGGGTCGTGCTTTGAGAGAGTCGCTCGGAGTTGAAAAAATACCGGAGGAAACTTCCTCGGAGAGGAAAAAGAAAAAAAGAAAAATCCGGAAAAGCGCGGCAGGTCGAAATGGGCTCTCGGGTTGCAACATCGTAACATAATATATACAACGCAAACGAGCGTAGGTACCCACTCTGTATGCAAATATGCGCAATTAGGTACGGTCCCCCTCTTGATTAGTATGGTTATTGCACCGAGTCCCGGAACAACAATGCGATTCTCTGGATTAGGAATGCGCCCCGAAAGGTGTATGGCAAACGTAACAGCTGCGCGTTACGTGCGCGTATTATGGGAACTGGAAAAAAAACACGGAGGTGTATTCACTTGTACGGATGGAGGCGTGTGTACCTATCTGTGCGGCCGATCCAATTAGGCTCGTATCTGCCCTGTACACCGCTAAACGTGGACTTTTAGTAAGAGCGTATGAATGCTCGAGCAAGTATTAGTTAATGTCCACGTGAATGGCATCTTTGGGGTTTTTTTATTTTTTTATTTTTTCCTTTTAACGGTTCGCGGTGGCTTTTACATACTTGGTTTTATTGCGGAACAACCATTATCAGGTATTTCGGTGTATAGGTATCTTTACGGCAATTTAGACCATATGCAGTTCTAGTAAAAACTCTGAAAGAAAAATGAAAATTCTGATAATCCAAATAAACGTTTGTATGAATATAAACTAAAAAAATTATGAAACAAATATCTATTGAATGTTATGTTACAAGTAACATTGTTTATTTGATGTAAATGCACATTGTTTAATAACGTTTATTTGAATTGACGAATTTTTTTTTTCAATGCATCTGTCAAACGGATCGGTTTGAAAAAAAAAATTAATAAAACGAATCATATGGCAGTATGGTGATCAGCTTCGCAAAAGTGAACGCTTCCACTGTTGCTCTATACTTGTAGACTGAAATACCGATTTTTCACACAACTCCGTGCGATACGACGGGAAAGCGCAATGTACGTGTATACACTCTTGCGCAACAAAGTGTGCCTCTTTCTCAACTCTCGTGCTAAGAGGGAGGGGGAAAAAATTAAGGCGAAAATTGTTGCGCGTTTGCAGAAACGACTCACCTGTCACTTGGTCTTGTATCTGAGAAGTTTCAGCTGCACCGGATTCGAGACTTTCACGTGAAGCGCTATGTCCTCGACCGAAGCTTCGCGCAGGTCCGTGCCACCTACGGCTATGACTCGATCGCCCTTGGTGATTTTTCGGCTCTCCGCTGCTGTGCCGCCTTCCACCTGTTGTTGGCACGTTTAAGATATTTTTTTTTTTTTTTTTTAGGGGACTTTTGAGTGTATTAATCTACCATGGATTTGACCATTGGACCGACAGCTCAATGAAAATACGTGTATCATATCAAAGTTTTATTTTAAAAATGTATCATGGAAAAAAAAAAAAATAGCTTCATGTAATTCTAACGTTTCTCAGATGGATAAGTTTTTTCATTCAGCGATAAAATTATTTGTGTTGCGAATGAAACTGGTCATGACTTATATTATATCGTAACGCATAATTTAACGATTCCAAAGCATTAGTGGACAAATCTGTTAACTGCAACCAACAACTAACAAAGATGCGCTCTTTCATCCCTATCAGTTTGTTTACGTGAAAAAAAAAAAAAAAAAAAAAAAAAAAAAAAAAAAAAAAAAAAAANTATAAGTATAATTGTTAACTATTACTGATATTTTTATTATAAGTATAATAGCAGGGATCACTGCTGCTACTGGCTTATCATTAATGCTATTTGATATACTGTCATACACAGACTACTTGTTTACCCAAACATTTAATCGAAATCTAAAGCAATTTTCACAGCATTTTTTGTTACAAGTGTTATAGAATAAGCGAACAGTGTTTAGCAATAATAAATACAAGTACTGTTTTATCTTACTGTTAATAATAAGTTACAAGGAAAAATCTGTAAAACTTAGACCTCAAAGAGAAAGAAAGGGCATGAGTAACTACATCCCCTCTTCTTATCTTGACGCGTGTTAAACAGCAAGCCGGACGTAAGAGGGGCCAATTTCCGAATGACAAAACTAGAGTAGCTGTGGACGGTTAGATTTTCGGTTGTTGTCTTTTTTTTTAAGATTCTCTCCTGCAAGATTTCCTGTACCATTTTTGAGCAAGTGCATGACCGAAGTCAGCTACTCCTAATTTAAGGGCTCAGAGGCCCCAAAAAAACAGTTACCGGTACCCTTCGAACGAAAGACTAAGTAGTTAGAGTCCGTCTCTGCTACCGTACTGTTCTTTACCTGGCGTACTCACAGTCCTTACTTTTACTTTTAAACGGTTGGCTGGGTAATTGGAGTCCACCTCTGCTACGGTCCCCCACGCGCGATTTAACTTTTTTGAACCACTGATTCTTTACGAGTACGACTTTAATATTCAGAATAAAATTAAGTTTGTTTAAGAATTATAAGCTTTCTAAGTTTCCTTCTTTCCAACATGGACATAACTTCTGAACTTGCACCATTATTCGTGACGGTTTTGGTAGCCCTTAAACTTCTTGGGAACAAATAACAAGCGAGGTTCTGCGTAAACTACAGAGCATTTACCACTACTTGGGACCGTAGTGGTTACCTTTAGATTACGATACAAAACACCCTCTGCTTTCTACTGGAGTGTATATTACTGCTCTATGCAGTAGTGATAACCTCAAGCAGCGTCGCAAATAGTTAAACATAATTCTTGAGTGTGCAGAGCTAGTCACCACTCTGAACGGCAAAAACTTGATCCCTCGCTCAAAGGTATTCGTGTCCCTTTCACTTACATCAACGAAGGCAGTGGAAACTTTTAGTTCAGATACTATACCACGTACTCCTGATGATTTCTTAGCTCCGCATCCTATTTATGCGCCCTGTGTACATCCTGGCTTATGAAGCGTAAGCCTAGACCTAAATTATACGTTGCGTTTATGGACCACCATAATGACCATCTGAAATATTTGATTATGCTAACTTTTGATGTCATATTTTGAAGCTGGAATAGAAAAATGAGAAATAACATACAAAACTTTGTGTTCAAAGTATGCTTGGTAATGAACTATAAAATAAAATATTTTTTAATATTAAATTTTTTTACGTAAGTAGAAACTGTAATGTATCTAAAAACTTAACTTATTGTTGTTTATTTTATTACTTGTAATATAATTTATTGTGTTAAACTTTTTAAATGAAGTAACCTGAGAGATATTATTCATTTTAAAAAAGCTACTTAAAACTGTCATTTTTTTGCTGTTAAAATTTGTACTGCACACATACCACTCTGTAAGGTTAATTTTTTTGTAGGCTAGGTTTTTTTCAGAAGATACCAAACACATAGAACTTGTCTAACCTTTCTTTTAAAAATAAATCTTTTTTTTTTTTTAATACTGTTTTACAGATTAATATGAATATTATTTAGTCATATAATAATAGAAAATGAATAGTATCAGTCTGTCAAGACGGCTTATGTTCATAAGTCATCTCAAAGAGCCCTTTTAACCACGGCAGAGCAGAATTCTCTAGTTTTATCTTGAAATGAGGATCATAATATCAAATGCTCACTAAAATTGGCACAAAGAATTAAAAATTTTTTAAATTATTTAGAAATCTATGGAATAATTGTGGCCAAACCTGCTACGGTTCAATCGTTATCGAGTTTTCGCAACTGAAGCAACAAAAATAAGATATAATAACAGCGAGAAAATGAGTAATGGTCCCGTTAACGAGTATAGATATTATTACCTGTTCGGCAGCACCTCCTTCCTGCACGTCTGACACGAAGATGCCGTGTCCGACTTCGGCGTGCTTTCCCTCGATTATCATTATTCCCAGGCCGTAGGTACCCTGGAAGAAAATTAACGACAACATAATTAAGATAACAATAATTAGATGCGTAACAACCGATCGGGCGACATCATACTTTGCTCTAGCAATAAATACATACCTTCTTTATCGGCACCAAGTGGACGCCTTTGAATTGACTGTAGTCCTGAAACGTAAACATAATATATTAGCACAGGTTTGTACAGCTCAAACAAAACATTCCATCATTTTATAATATTGTCAATTTGGAAGATTATCATACTTCTCCCGGCAACGGGGTTGGGAACACCGTGACTTGCGGCACGGCGCAGCTCTGGATGGCATCTGGTCTCCTGAAATTTTCCCAACGAAATCATGACATCTGTACACTTTACTTTTCACTCGTACCGATTTTATCTCAACGGGTCTCGCGTCGAGTGCAAACGCCCGTTGCGCAACAAGGCCAAGGTCGACCGCGTGACCGGCAAGAAAGTGAAATTCAGTGTACCGTGTATGGAGCGGAAGAATAAAGGAAAGTTTGACTCACCGCACTACGATGAACTTGAAGCTGGTGAACGGCATTCCCTTGATCATCGAGGTGACGTTCAAGTGGCACCTTCCTTGGAACACGGTGCCGTTAACCTGTGGCAAAGATAGAGAGAAAGAGAAAAAAAAAATGTTTTCCCAAGGAACATAATGGCAAAAGAAGCGAACGTACCTCGAGTATCTCGTCCCCGGGCTGGAGGATGCCCTCCTTGGCCGCGGTGCCGCTCGGGTCGATGCCGCAAATGAAAACGGCCATTTTGTTCCTGTCCTTGTGACCGGCTAGGGATATGCCCATTCCCGAGCGGCCTTTCTCCAACTTGGACACAAAGACTCGCTTTTTCAGGTTCGCGTATTTCTTGCGTATTTTCACTGCAAACGAAGCCATTGATTGTTTTTACGACTTATCGAGAAAAAGAGAGAGAGAGAGAGAAAAAGCCGCAGACTCACTCTCCGTGTAGCCAAACTCGTCCTCCTCCTCGGGATCAGCCGCGATCTCCTCTTTCGTCCGCTTGACGTTGCCGGCGCTCCTTCTCGATATCTATTATACATTATTTTTAGTGTTACAATATGGGCATGTATCATTTTGAATCAAAAAACATTTCAACATCTATACAATCCATTGTTTCACAAATCGAAGTGTGTAATTTTCCGTAACACTATTTACTCGCTTTTATGTGAGTTGAAACAACACACTTCGATTTGCAGTGCATAATTATAGGTATATGTACATCGTACTAAATTAGTGCATACTCACTGTTCAAATATTACCTAAATACTCACTTATTCGAAGTGAAAGTTCATACTATTTAAATACTATATGTACATAATGTTGCAGTCTCAATTTCACAAATTCTTAATGGCATACTTATTATATATACGTTAAAATTAATTATTGATGGTATATTATACTCGAAATACTATATATTTATATTCCATTCTCTTCGGTTAAATTAACATGTCGTGTTGCATCACTCATGAACCAAATAACCGTGTCCAAGTGCAGACGTAATTATTATTATTATTTTTATTTTTTTTCTTTAAGTTTTTCTTGCTAGTAAAAATCTCGATTTTTCGCGTGGAAGCATAGATTAGTAAGCGCAAACCTCCATCGCACGGGCTTACTTTAATAGACTCCATTAAAACGCAACGTTCTTCTATTCTTAACGTAGCCCGAAGTGACGGTAACCCAACGCGTCGGGCAGAGAAGAGGATCACTTCCCGTCGACTCTCAACTTCGACAACAATACACCCAAAGCCCCAGCGAGGTCGTTTACAGGTCCGCGCGAAAACTTTCAAAGAAGAGCTCGAGAGCGCCAAGTGTTTCCCTCCCTCCCCGGGACGATTCGCAGCTACATGACGTTTCTCTCTCTATTGTTATTTTTTTTTTTCGCTAAAAAAACACCCGGTGACCCTTTTCTCTTTGTTTTCACCACGACCAGCGGAATAAGCCGGGATGGAGATTCGGCTGTTATCGCGACTAGCTGCGAGACACAAGCCGCTGTGTTTACGGTATCGGATCCACAAATAGAACCCGCTGGGCTGTCGCCCCCTCACCCTACACGTGTATATTTGCAGTATATATCTAAGCTCCGCATCTCGAGAAGCTTCCTCGCGATGGTACCGATGCCCCGCGCAATAACTCGCTGATCGAATATGCATGTATATATGCTTGATCCATCAATTTCAAATTTAATTTAAAAAAAAAAAAGCTCCGCGTGCTTTGGGGAGCTTTGACGAAAATAACGGGGAGGGGGCATTTTTTTAATAAGCGTAAGAGGCCAAACGCACGCGCGGAAGCGTGAATTTTAATCAACGAGCTATGCATTTGCGGGGGTGTACACGAGGCGCGAGGAACGGTGAAAAGCTCGGCGGGAGCTTGCGGGAGAAAAAAAAAATCAGTGACGTATACATAGTTTCTCGGTCGCGTTTTTTTTTTTTTACAGAGCAACACTATAGGGGCACGTCGATATACAAGGCGCAGAGGTGATGTTGGGGTTGCAACACTGACCTCGACGCCGTTCTTGGTGTAGACGTTGCCCTCGAGTTCTCGAGTGTCCTCCTCCTCCTCGGAGCTCTCACCCGACGAGTACTTGTTCTCGGGCTTTGGTTGCGCCGCCTTTGGCTTCTCGCCGTCCCTGCTCGACTCTCGGCTCGTTGGCGCTCTTCTGCGGATAGTTTGTTGGATTAGTTTTTTTTACCCACTTTCAGTTACTTACAGTGAACCACATTGCGGCAGAGACTGTTTTTGTGCTCTTAGGAAAACGATAATACGTACTTTTTGTCACTCGGTCCGGGACCATCTGCCATTCCACTGGTTTGCCTCTTCAAATCCCTCTTTCCTTCCTGTAAGCGAAAGTCACGCAAAGTAAGTGTACCCACGCGGCACTGTCAACTCGGCTCTACTTATTATATCGCGAACAAAACAAAAGCCCAGTCGGCCAAAGTATTTTCCCGGTACTCGTGTTCGCTCGTTGTTGTTATTACATCGCCGTCATTGTTGTCGTCTCCTCGAAAGCTCCTCTCCCATTCAAAAGCTCGCGTATATAAACATTCGTTGCAGCGAAGNAAGAGTCAAAGTGGGGGTCCCAAAAGTAATTAAACTAAAAATGACATGATTTCCGATATAGTTTAAATTTATTTAAAGATGCTGCTGATGCAAGGCTGGAGGAAAATCTTTCAAATTGTAAGGGAGGTTCATTGGGTTATACATTTATGGGGTTATAAGATTCTAAGAGGTCTGAAGGGGGCAGTGAGGTGGTTAAGGAAGGGGCTATACAACAATTAGATTTCATAAAAATATAGTTTAAAATGGTAAAGTCTTACCTCATTCTAAGGAGTTTTCAGGGTGATGGTAGAGAAGGGACTGAGATGGGATTGTTATAATCGCGCTAGTGGGCTGAGGGCAGGTTGAAATGTTGTGGAGGGAGGGCTTACCCTAATCTTAATCTAATAAAAATTGTATCTTAGTTAGAGAGACTTAATAGTGGCTGAGGAGCTGTGAGGGGTGGTGGGGGAGTGTTGTGGAATAACCCTCTATAATTACTAAATAATTTATGAATATATATATGAATATATTGCTTCTAAAAAGCTTTCTTTTTGTCCTTGTGCTAATATACAACATACAATATACTATCAGCATGATGGTGGGGATACCGCAATACTGGTGGAGTCTTGTGCTGTTAGATGGAGCTCATGTGTTGCATAAATCACCTCTGCAGACACATATATATTGCTCCACAGAGTGCCCTTTTTTTCTTCTTCTGCTGTTAGACAAGGTTTCAAGCACCCTATACATGTGTACATATGTATTTAAATTAAATAAGTCAGAAAAATAATAAAAATTTATTGTAATAATAGTTGTAATAATATCAGTTTAACGAACAATAATTTATTTTTTATAAAATCTTTTTGCTAAGGTAAAATGAGTAACAAATAAATTTTTCAATTGAATTACTCAACAATATTCGTAAAGGCTTACCAGCGCATTAACTTAATTTGAGAATTAGAGCAATTATTGCGTTGATATGGAGTTAAAGTATAGTTAATGGCTTGTCTAACGGTAAAAAATTATAAAATTATGAAATTTCTGAAACACAATATTAAAGCAAAAATTGTAACGGGAGAAAAAATTAGGAAGAGAGTTTTTGTATTAAAAATAACCCTCAACACAAGACATTCATTAAATTTACCTTTTATTTCATACAGAAAATAATTTCCCTTAGTCCGAGCGTTTTTAATGACCATCATCAAATATAAAGGTCAAATTTTCAATAATATCTGATTATAATTAAAAAAACCATTGTTTTTGCATTGTTAGTTATAGGTCACGTTATAAATGTACAAAAATAAGAATGGAATCTATATTCGAACAAAACGTAACAATAGTTTTGGAACAGTAAATACTGTTTGGAAAAAGAATACTGACGTTAACTTATGTAAAGAAAATAGAAAAAAATTTATTTTCTTACATTAGCAAAAATATGAAACTGTACGTAATATTTTTGCATACTTTGTGAGAATAATAAATAAATGTATTACATCAATAAAATTATCATTAAAATGTTGTTTTATGACGATGTGCGGACATGTGCATTATTTGACATATTTCAATGAATATGATTTTTATTTTTCCGTGGTAAATAGTGTTACGAGTGAGGTCCATGGTTTAAATATTCTATAAAATTGTTAACTGTCATTAATTAAGTATATAAATAAAATGTCATATTTTTATACACATTAAATAATACAATTAATAAGCTTTGAGATAATTTAAGTTAAAAAAAAACAAGCTCGCCATAGTACTGCCTTAACAGTGGTGTGTAAATGTGCTGATCTGCTTGAAATTAGGGGCTCTCTTGCAACTGTAAGAAGAGCTGAGACAGATGTTGCAAATGGTCATATAACTAGAAATGGCATAAAAATCGATATAATTTTCACCTTTTTTAGAGATGCGGCTAAAAAGGGTGACCAGAAAAAGTTCTTCAATATTGTGTGAGATTATTCACTTATTGGATTTTAAATTTATAAGGGAGGGGGGCGAAAAGAAACTTAACAAAAATTTAACTCAATAAAAATAAGGTCAAAACTAACAGAAAGAAAATGTGCTAATAAATAAAGGGGAAAGGGGGGGGGGCAAAAAAACTAAACGAAAATTCAACCCAATAAAAATGAGGTCAAAGCTAACAGTATAAAAATGTGCTAACAAATTACAAAGCTTAAATAATTATTTTATTTGAATAACGAATAATAACGTGGACATAAAAAATGGTAAAAAGTGGTTGTATACAAATTGTGAAAGGGCTAAGAGGGTTTCTTAAAAAGTGTAAGAAGAGTCAAAGTGGGGGTCCCAAAAGTAATTAAACTAAAAATGACATGATTTCCGATATAGTTTAAATTTATTTAAAGATGCTGCTGATGCAAGGCTGGAGGAAAATCTTTCAAATTGTAAGGGAGGTTCATTGGGTTATACATTTATGGGGTTATAAGATTCTAAGAGGTCTGAAGGGGGCAGTGAGGTGGTTAAGGAAGGGGCTATACAACAATTAGATTTCATAAAAATATAGTTTAAAATGGTAAAGTCTTACCTCATTCTAAGGAGTTTTCAGGGTGATGGTAGAGAAGGGACTGAGATGGGATTGTTATAATCGCGCTAGTGGGCTGAGGGCAGGTTGAAATGTTGTGGAGGGAGGGCTTACCCTAATCTTAATCTAATAAAAATTGTATCTTAGTTAGAGAGACTTAATAGTGGCTGAGGAGCTGTGAGGGGTGGTGGGGGAGTGTTGTGGAATAACCCTCTATAATTACTAAATAATTTATGAATATATATATGAATATATTGCTTCTAAAAAGCTTTCTTTTTGTCCTTGTGCTAATATACAACATACAATATACTATCAGCATGATGGTGGGGATACCGCAATACTGGTGGAGTCTTGTGCTGTTAGATGGAGCTCATGTGTTGCATAAATCACCTCTGCAGACACATATATATTGCTCCACAGAGTGCCCTTTTTTTCTTCTTCTGCTGTTAGACAAGGTTTCAAGCACCCTATACATGTGTACATATGTATATATGCTTGACCTCTTATGCACACGCTTGCGTATACACCTGCACACTCATGCGAAATAACGAGTANCTACTTCTTTACAAAAATAAAAGGTGACGTACAATTTATCTATTTAATATTCTTCAAAAAATTTTAAAAGCCTTTATTTAGGGGCAAAAAACTGTATTCTTCGTTTGTATTGTAGTTAATCGCTGGCTTTACCCAGTTCTCAAATTGAAATTAGAATACAGTCAAGTTTACTGCCGTTTTTGGCGTGTCTTATTTTTATATGCCACTCGTAGTGTAATTGTATCTTTTACTAGACATTGTCAAAGCGGAACAAAGTCTTATTGACTTTGGATTAGTAAAACTGCAAGCCTTAAACCAAATACATCGTTGCATTGCTTTGTTGTAGCAGGATTATAACTTAAGAGCATGCTTTTGATGTATTTAATTGAAGGTTTTGTATTTGTACCAGTCAAAAGTCAATATAACTATAAATAATTTTTTCTAAGTACGAGCAGAAGACAGTATAATACTGCTAGTGTGTACTTGCAAAAGCTGGGAGGGCAGTACTCTTGGCATAGGTAGTAGACTCATTATTTGCAGCTGAGTACGACCAAAATGTCGCCTGCATAATAGACAACGTGAAATCGCGGATCTAATCGCCTGGATGCCTCCTACCATCTAATATTTTTAATGAAGAGTGACTAAGGTCATTCGAGGGCCTCCGTGTTAACATCTGCGATGTGTGGATTGAATAAAAAGGGTAGTCAAAAATTTGTCAGGAGATAAAACTAAGGAATGCTAAGTAACTTAATAAGGTTGAAGTTTTGAAGTCTCCCTCCAACCCGCATCAGAACGTTATCCAGAATCAGATCCAGTTTCCAAACTTTTTTACTGTTGATAAGTAGTGGTTTCTGCTGTTCCAGGGCTAGGCCAACGTTGGCCTTGAGAATCTTGTATTCTTCATAATAATGACGTTGATGAATGGCTACCAAGTAATGTTTAGCTTAAGCAATCTCTCTTTAGGGAAGAGGGGGGTCATGAGCTCTTTCAAGAACTTTCAGATCGAATAAAAGGTAGATTTTGAAACATGGTTCTTCTTACTTGTCTGATTATTCTCTTGAACAAATGCAAAGTTTTACTATAAATCGAGGAAGTTAAGCCGTTATTCTTAGTAAATTTTTATAGTAGAAATAACTCGACAGTGAATCCCAATTAAGATACTGAGCTACATAGTTTTGAAAAACAGTAATTGCCTCTATCGCATCCTAAAATTTGGGGTAAATTGAGTTAATTTGATGTCATAAATCAGGTCCTTTATGCCATTGTTCCAAACGTTGAGGATAAATGCCTTGAGAAGCTATATCAGCTGGATTCAGTTGACCTACTACGTAGTGCCAGTTAGCTTGAGGGACAAGGCTCTGAATCTTGGAACAACGGTTGGCAATGAAAACTGGTCATTTTGAGGGTAAATCATAAAGTTTGTGCAACACATCTTCAGAGTCGGTCCATGAAAAGGATAGAATCGATGGGATGTCCTATCTCGACAATGTTATGATTCGTCAGCTTAGCTAGTTAGTGGGCAGCTCACAATTCAAGTCTAGGGATACTCACATTCTTTATAGGCGCAATATTTGTTTGAGCTACCGGTTGTAAGACGTGCACCTTATCATCTTCAATAGTTCTCAGGTACAATACAGTGGCGTAAGCAAACTTTGAAGCGTAGAAATCACTGTGAATTTTCAATAATTTTTTCTGAGTAGAAAAGTGATTCCAACGTGGTATTTTTAACC